TTTGCTCTTTTGTTACCAGATCCCTATGAAATCAAGTGCAGTGAGCCACCTTAAACTGACATGCAAACTTTAATCTATTTGTGCAGCAGTACCTCGTGCAGGACCAACGATCACAAGCATTACTAATGTGAACACGACATCGCTCCATATAACGTGGAGAAAGCTGAGTACAAATGAGTCTAATGGACCAATATTCGGATATCGTGTCTGCTACCGGGTCCTCAAACAAGGTGCAGGTAGTATATGCACTAAAACGAAAGATATTTCTGGTGTGAATAATACACAAGTGATTTTGACAGGCTTGATGAATGGAACAACATACGATCTCGCTATTCTGCCTGAGAGTGCCGGCGGAGGATATGGACCGGTCGGAAACATAGTCAGCCATAAAACATTACTAATAGATGAAGGTGGTATGTATTGTGTGTTATATTGTCAAGGATCAATGTGTTGTATGTGGATCTTGTTCAAAAGTACACACAAGTGACCACGAATGACCACCAGTTTTTTATCACATGATCACGAGAATTTTTTAAAATTGAAGAATTGAGAATTATCTTTTAGGCAAAGTTTTAAAAAAAATTACAGAAGGGAATTTTTAAAATGACCGGAAAAAGACAAATTTTCAGCTTAATAGGCAATTCCAGCTTTTAGTTTATGTGTGCAGGGGACGATGGGAAGTAAGGTATCACATTGCTGATTATGCTGGAAAAAATAGAAATGGTGGCCGTGTAAACACGTAGTGATAGCTTATACTTGTAAATATTGAAAAATTTCGGTTGTTTCGGTAGTTTTTATTGAAAATTTTCAGCATAATCAGCAATATGATACCTTACTTCCCATCATCCCCTGCAGGCATAAACTAAAAGCTGGAATTGCCTATTATCCTAAGCACTCCGTCGCCATGGTAACATTTAAACACATAAATCACTCGTGGTCATTCGTGGTCACTCGTGGTCACTCGTGGTCACTCGTGGTCATTCGTGGTCACTTGTAGTCACTCCTGTGTACTTTAATGCTTTAATGCTTTAATGAAATACTCCTAAAACAGTATTATACTACACTAGGAGGAGTTATATATACTGAAAAACTAGATAATTTTTATATTTATATATAAGAAAGTCATCATAATCACTGTATGACACATATATTAGGCGGTGATTAGAATGATGTTGTTATATGCTATTAACAATAACAATGACAAAAACGACAACGACAATAACAACAACGACAACAACAACACTAAGACTACAAAACGAACATATAGTACAGTACAAACGATTCAAAACGATGCTAATTAGCTACATTAAGTGACTTAATTGAAGGCATGGCAAGTGTTTTGAAACTTGGGGTTGATTGGCAAAGATTGTTAAATGGGATGTGATTCCAGGTAACGATTGTTCTTGGATAAAATGAAAACTTATATACATTGACACACGACTGAATTTTGCGGTAAGGACAGATATTAGGCAGCCTGGGTGCTCTAGTCAAAGGACACACGTCATCAGGAAGACTGATTCCAACAAGGCCTTGATGGATCTTGTAGAACATAGTGGCTTGGTGTAGCAGTCGCCCAACCCAGGTGGTCGATCATCAGTGGCGGCGCCAGGCCTCAGAATTTGGGGGGCATTTGAGGGGCAAACTCGTATTTTGGGGGGGGCAAGATAGAATTTTTAAAAAGGTACTGCTATTTGCCCATGCCGTTGTCAAAGGACTTTTGTTCCCCTCCCCAGGAGATTCGCCCCCTTCTCAAAAGGGGACGATATTCCTAGGAATAACGCCCCCGGGGGACGAATATCCTAGGAATATTGCCCCTCCCCAAAGGGGCGAATACCCCAGAAATGTCGCCCCCCTTTAGGATATTCGCCCCCCATATATGCGATGTGGTTTATTCAAATAATTTCGTGATACTTTCATCTTATTAGTGCCTTAAGGCCCATACAGAACGGACGCTATTTGGCAACGCGACGCGAATTTTCAGTTTTCAATGACGTTTAGCTTTAATATTTTTCATTGGTTTTCAAATATTCGGGACCACTTAGCAATTTTAGCTATTTGGTCTGCATACCTTGTAAAATTTTTATCCTTTGACGGTTTTATTTGTTTTTGAAAACTGAAAATTCGCGTCGCGTTGCCGAATCGCGTCCGGTTTGTGTGGGCCTTTACACATTTGCGAATTTAACTTTGCAAAACTAAAGCTTTTTTTGACTTTTTTGAAACGTATTATTGGAGTATTGGAAAGGTGTACCGTTCAGAGATTTACAAACTAATATTGAAACTGTAAAAGACAGTTTCGTGTATACGCGCATTCACTGATGAGTAATGACAACTAATAAGCCATACACTTTCCGATAACGACAAAACGCTTGTGTAGCCTTTAGTCGCTCTCAGTGACTAATAATTTTTTTTGAGGGGGCAAAATGGAAATAATTTGAAGTCGTTTGCCCCCCTTTCCCCACCTGGCGCCGCCACTGTCGATCATTGGAGAGACGTGACTAGCTCTGGAATAGTCATTGAAGACAAATCTAGCAGCTCTGCGTTGAACCATCTCGATCTTGTTGATGTTCCTCTTGGTGTAAGGGTTCCAGACTGTAGAAGCATACTCAAGTTGTGGACGGACAAGACTAGTATACGCTCTTGACTTAACAGCAGCGCTACATTCACCGAGGATTCTTCTAAGTAAGCCAAGAGTGCTATTTGCCTTACTTCATATGATGTCACAATGATTTTTCCAGTTCAAGTTGTGGTTTATAGTAATGCCCAGGTATTTGGTAGAAGATACTCTGCTAATTGTTTGATTATTCCTCATATAACTATATGTTTCAGGGACACGTTTATTTGTAATTCTCAGGTGGTAGCATTTGGAGAAATTGAAATTTATTTGCCACTTGTTAGCCCAATTATTTAGATCGTCTAAATCCTCTTGTAACGTGACGTGGTCCTGGTCGTTATTCTATAAATGATTCCATCGTCAGCAAACAAGCGAATTTGGGAATTAATATTCTCAGAAATATCGTTTATATAGAGAAGAAATAAGACAGGTGCGAGAATTGTTCCTTGGGGTACTCCAGATATGACAGGTTGAGGGTGAGATTGGGAGCCATTAACCGATACAACTTGATAGCGGTTGGAAAGAAAAGCCTTGATCCAATTGGCGGAAGGTCCTCTAATACCATAATTAATGGTCTAATTTGGACATCAGACGAAGATGAGGAACAGAATCAAAGGCTTTACTGAAGTCTAAGAGAATCACATCGGTTTGTTTCTTCTGGTTGATACTTTTTGCCCAATCGTTGATTGTCGTAATTAGTTGAGTCTCACACGAAAATAGTTTGCGAAATCCGTGTTGTTCATTAATTAGAATATCATGATATGCTAAGTGCTTTGAAACATGGCTAAGAATAACATAGTGTTCCATGACTTTGCAACACAGACACGTCAGAGAGATTGAACGGTAGTTGGCTGGGTTGGATTTTAAGTCCTTTTTAAAAACAGCAGAAACAAGGGCCTTTGACCAGTCAGGTCGAAGTGTATCAGAATCATAGGATTGTTGGAAAATGAAACAAAGCCAGTGCGAAATTGATGGAGAAAGTTCTTTAAGGATTCTAGCTGGGATTTCATCAGGACCACAGGCCTTACTGGGGTTAAGTTCAGAGAGTTGCTTGGCTACACCTTGGGAGTTGATTATCAAATCCGAGATGCAGGTGTATGGAGATTGACCTTTATTTGGAATTGGACCATTCTCACGGGTGAATACTGAATGGGACTGGGAGTTAAGGGCGTCAGCTTTTGATTTATCAGAAACACATAATTTTGTCGTTGAATTTTAATGGAGGTATGCCAAAGCTCTCAGATTTACTTGTACGTACATACGACCAGAATTTCGTTGGATTGGTATCTAAGCTTGCGCCAATAACGTCATTCAGATAACTACTGTGAGATTGTTTGACGAGACGAGAGACTAAGTTCCGTTCTTTCTTGAACTCATTCCAGTGTTTAGGTTTGTGGGATTTGAGAGCCTTTTTATGTAGGCGATCTTTCAGCCGCATGTGCCGTTTGATAGCAGAGGTTATCCATGGAAGTTTATACTTAGGCGTAGATTTCTTGTGAGGAACATAATCTTGAATACCTTTTATCAAGGTTAATTTAAATTTTAACCAGTTTTCAGATACAGAGTTATGTTGAGGACTAGATAGGAAAAAGTTTTCCGATGCATGTGACATAAATTCATTAAGCTTTGTGAAATCAGCTTTCTTATAGATGAAAACTTTGTGTGGAGGTTTGAACGATCTAGTAGCCGCGACATCGATGTTAAAAAGGACGGCCAAATGGTCGCTCATTCCTGACGTGGTCGAAACATTAGATACATTATTAGGGAATGAAGACAATAACAAGTCCAAGGTTTTGTTAGAAGCTGGACGAATAGGTAACGTGACGTGTTGTGTAAGGGAGAAGTCGTCAAGTGCCTGGAGAAGTTTCTTATGATGTAAGGAATTGATTTCACGTAAGTTCCGGCTGGTGACTCAGGTTTCCAGTCGATGTCTCCAAGGTTAATTTAAAATCACCGCCTAGAATAATATTTGGATGATTATTAGTCGAATAAAACACACAGTTTATAGATTTCTGGAGCTCATCAAGGGCTTCGGAAGAGGAGTTGGGAGGTCTGTAATAGGAAGCTAGGTATAATTTCTTGGTATTCTGGAACTTTACTGAGGACCAAAGAATTTCACAGTTCGCAACGAATTTTGGACAGTCTTCGCATACAATATCGGATTTAACAGCTTGAAAAACACCATTTGCATTTCTGTCTTCTCTATAGACAGTGTAGTTGGGTGGAAACACAGAGCAAGTGGGTATATCCTTGTGTAGCTTTGATTCAGTTCCTAGAACAACGTCAGGGTTGTGTAGGTCAAGTAGAGCTTGAAATTCTGTAAAACGCGATGCACCTTTCAAACCGTTACAATTGATGATCATTCCTTTTAGATGACGTTTAGATTTAACTCGTTTAGACCTAGGTATTGGATTGGGGGTTGAAGCGAATACAGTATTAGAACCTCGAGAGGGAGTAGCCGGCGGTGATGATTGATTATCAAAGGCGCTGAACGAGTTTGAGAGCAATGATGGCGTTATTAGACAAGATCGTTGTGTTTGTTTTTCAAATAGTGTAAACCAACGCATGCTTTATTTAATTATGTCGTACCTGTTCCAAGATGCTTCGTGTGTGAACGCATAGCTTCTTATGCATAACGATCGTCATTCAGCCTCCTTTGCTATTGTTATGGTCGAAAGTAACCTCTACATAAAGTACATATGACAAGAAAATTCGTATTTTCTTAAACGAAAGAACTCTTTAAGCTGTAGTGTAACTTATTTTTCAGTTTTTTGTTTTTATGGTTTGTTTCCGAAATATTTCAATTTGTTTGATATGTAAATGAGTGTAAATATGTCCGTTAATTTATGACGTCACGTTGGTTGCAAGCTCAACTTACACTGGTTATAAATCTATTAACTCTAAAAACTGTAGATATTTATTCACGTTTTTCAACAGTGTTTCATCACATTTACCAGTGAGTGAAGTTTGAAATTATCATCTTGGATGATAGCAGTGATATTCAACTATTTTGAAGAGCTTGCAACCAACATGACGACATAAATTAGCGGACATATTCACACTCATTTACATATCAAACAAATTGAAATATCTCTGGAACAAACCATAAAAACAGGAAACTGAAAAATAAGTTACACTACAGCTTAGAGAGATCTTTCAGTTAAGAAAATAAGAAATTTCATGTCACATGCACTTTAAAAGATGTTTACACACGTAAAATTGCCTCGGTCATTTTTAAGTTAAGCTGGTCGCAACATTTGAGCGATTGGTACTCGTTTTATCTTCCAAACGTGCTAACCTATTTTTCATGATTGCCAATTCCCCGTCTCCATACAGGCTGATATATTTTCTAAGCATCTTGGCCTCAAATTTGGAACTATATATCCAAAAATGAATTTTCAATAATAAAACTACTTTTCAACAATGGAAAAGCGTGGATTAAAACAGACACGGGAATAGCTTTTTTGACGTTACCATAGGTAACTATGAGGGAGCTGAAGTTAATTGTGAACTTCTAGTAGTTTTTGTTTTCATATTTACCATCAAGGAAAAGTTTGGTCTAGTAGCAAATAAAATAAAGTGTAGAAAATAACACTTCTTAGATATCACTTTCGATCTCAATGATGAAAAATAATAAAAGCCTTATAGGATACCCAATAATTATCAGTAATACATAAATAGGTACTCAAATCACCAAACAAACATCTAAAACAGCTTCCTACATCAACAAACAAATTTCTTTGACTGACGAGCAGACGTTTTAGGAAACTATAAACCTATTTACCAAAATGCACTTTAGCAAGTGTCTGAACGTTAATAGAACACTAATAGTACATTGACATTGTTCGGGTTACCTACAGTTAGTTTGATCTCATAGATCACGTTATCTAGTTTTGAGCGGGATTAGAAAAGGGACTCGTATTGTTTATGAACGCTTGGACAATTGTAATTTTTCATGAAGCACACATTCTACTATTTCACAATGGTGCCATGACCAGGATATGGACGAGCTACAGTACAACGTTTGCAAGCTTCTAGACGAGGTCATCGAGGACATCTGACAAAACTGTTCAAAAAATCGCAGGAAATTATGCAACAACAAACAGCCATCAACGAACTAATTCGCGCGTTAGCTGAGACTATAGTCGAACAACTAGGACGGAAGAGAGACATTCTTAAGGAAATAGACGCGAGTATACATGCAGCCAAAAATCATAGTAGAAGATATGGAAACCGAAATTACTGTCGCTGAAGAATTGCAAGAGGAAATCGCCGAAAAATTCGCACAGATAAGTATTATTCTTAAATCAAAGCCACACATAGTTGCCCCTAAGATTTCAGTTACAATTAATACAATCCCAGTTGCTCGTCAATGCTCAGTATTACCTAATACAGGCTCAGTTGTCTCGCATAGTTTGGCAACGTCCAGTGTAGACCTAGTTAAATTTGACCCCCACTCCCTCACCTACAAGCTTGGTCCCACCCAGTTCACCAATTCAAGCCCCGTTTTCCAAGCTACTGGAGACATCAACAACAGTCGCCTCCCAAAATTAGTCTTTTCAACGTTCAGTGGGGGTACTCTAGAGTGGCTATCCTTTTGGGGCTCATATTATTCGATGTTGCTGTTAACAAAAGGCATGGGTTATCAGACATTGCGAAGTTCAACTATCTACGTGCTCAACGAATGGGAGAAGCACAGCTGGCAATTGCGGGATACCACTTTACGAATGAGAACTGTGCTAGAGCGGCCGAGACACTTAAGGAGCATTTTGGACAAACCCACAAAGTCGCAAATGCCCACATATCAGCTCTATTAGAGTTATTCCTACCATCTGACAATTTTGTTAGCCTGAAAACATTTTGTGATGACATGGAGACAAATATTAGAGCTTTAGAAGCCCTCGGAAAGTCTCAAGACACATTTGGGGGCCTCCATAATCTTAGGAAAACTCCCATGATGAAACCAAAATAAATCTTGCTAGGGGCGTGATTGGTCAATACAATATCTGAGAACAGGGGAGTGATTGGTCAATACAAGATATGAGAAAGGCCCTCAAGAATGAACTTAGGTGCTTGAAGCATGGCAAATCATAAACCAGACCCCGCTCCCACAGCATCCTTCTATACAGGGATTGGATCCCATGGTCAACAAAGCAGATAAAACCAGAATTGATCATGTGTGTTTGCATGTGGCCATAACCTCCAAAAGGTGAACCATAGTGGTGGATCCAACAAAACGCATGTCAATTATTAGCAAGGGGCTTTGTGCTACATCTGTCAGTCGCCTACACATCGCTGTGCTAAATGCTCTTCATAGTATCCATGTAGAAATTGCGGTGCTAAACATTACATCACCATCTGTGAACATGATAATTGCCCAACGACCCCACTTAACGGCCAGAGGCGTAGCCAGGGCTGGGGCCGGAGGGCCCGGCCCCCCCTGGCAAAATTTTGCCCCCCCCCTGGCAAAATTTTGCCCCCTCCTGATAAAATGTATTGTACTGCTAAGGGTACCTGCAAGGTAGGGATTGTTACGGGCATTAAGAGCAAATAGAACTAACAATAGTACAAATTACATAAAGCATGCAGTTATTACTCGCAGCGAACCGGCGACTTGTGAGCATGTGAGCACTGAGGTCGGAGCTTAAGGAATACGGAATCAATTCATGCCATGAGTGTCTGAGAAAAAGCAATGGTCAATGCATTTGTTGCCAAGACCATGCACGGGTTCAAGAGCAATCACAGATTACAGATAGGCGTGTTAATGTTAATGGAAGTAATATTCACTATATATCATAAGCAAGAATATATAATATTTTCAAGATCAGGTGGAATTTGTTGAATTTAATACGCGCTGCTTTAGTACGCGTATAAATACAAACGACAAAGCATTCTTATTAAGACGTACAGTTAAATTATATAACACAAGTTTTTGCTATCTGATTTCATATTATTAAGTACAATACTGCTAGGCGCATTTACTACATTGTATACACAGTATTTAACTAAGAAACCAAAACTTTATAATAAATTAAACTATATAACTTACAGTGGTCAAAAGTCCATTGAGTGAAGAACTCACGAAGTGCAGTCACGTTATTTTATACACTATAAATTATGATGGCCTTTACAGGGCTTAAGAGCGACTGTCTACAAAAATCAAACAAAATGAGAAATATGTGGCAAGGCTCAAAATTTTAAATTCGCTCTACTTTTGAATATAAGTTGACTATGGTGAAGTGAGAAACGTTATGTGGTTAGTTTTTAAAAATACTCTTTTGTTTATGAAAAAAGGCACAAAAATGTTTCAGCTGTGAGGACCGATTTTCGCAATCGAAAATGGCCGAAATTGCGTATGTTTACTTAATCCTGGTATCCAAACCCTAAATCCAAATAGCCTTATTATACTTTCTGTTAAAGCTACATCACTCCCTCGTTTATTAATAGTGGTTTTATGATAATTGAACAACTGAACACATTTGTGCACAATAAAGAGCGACGGGTACTGATTTTTAATGTTTGTCATTGCATGTAAAAAGTGGCAGATTTCTCCATTTGCCATCCTTTCAAATCTTATGGGATTTTGCACAAGCACTATTGGGAAACTGCCCTTTTCAGAAATGTATTATTTATTTTGGGCAAATAAATTCACACGCTTTGAGAAAGAGTTAACTTTGGTTCATTAAATATGCAAAATCACTGTTTCGCGATTGCGTGACTAAACACCCCTTGCAATCTGAAACTCACTTAAAACATCATTGTTCTTCACCTTTAGTTTAGAGAATTTGAAGAAAACATAAATATACATACCTTGAATGCAAAAAGTTCCTTTGAGCTGTTCCACTTTTGGAGTTAGCCCTAACTTAACTACATATTAAACTCAAAGTTCAAGGAGTCCAGCTAACAGAAATCAGCTAACAATGTGACGGATATTAATTAATCATGATAACAATAGCATAGCGGCGTGCGGATTGCATTTTTTCGACAATAATCCACATAAAAACAATATTAAAAATACAGGTAATGCATCACAGTGGCATTACTTTCGCCAAATCGACAGGAAGCCCGCCACCTAAAATGTAAACATTTGGTGACAAATAGCTTTTTCAATATGTCAGTATAAAAATAAAATAGAATTTCTGTAATATTAACTTTGACTGTTTGTTTCTAAGAATATTAATAATTGTAAATAAAAGTAAATTACAGCAATAAAAAAACCTCAATTCGCAATAATCCACTTAATAGAAAAAAAATATTAAAAAAGAAATGACAACATTACAGTAATACATCGCAGTGGCATTACTTCCGCCAAATCGACAGGAAGCCCGCCACCTATAATGTAAACATTTAGCTTTTTCGATATGTCAGTATAAAAATAAAATAGAATTTCTGCATCATTAATTTTGACTCTTTGTTTCTAAGAATATTAATAATTGTAAATGGAACACGAATGGAAGTTGTGTGAATTGTTAGCTGATTTCTGATAGATTGGATTCCAAGAACTTTGAGTCGATGTATAAGGCGGAGATGTAAACAACCGAACGGTCGACAATATTAAATTCCTGGT